ACCTGCACCTCCTTCCAAAAGAGTTCCATACCACTTTTCTAATACCTGCACCTCCTGCCAAAAGAGTTCCATACCCCCTTTCTAATACCTGCGCCTCCTTCCAAAAGAGTTCCATTTCTCCTTGCTAATACCTGCACCTCCTGCCAAAAGAGTTCCATACCGCCTTTCTGATATCTGCACCTCCTTCCAAAAGTGTTCCATACCACCTTTCTGATAGCTGCACCTCCTTCCAAAGGAGTTCCATACCAACTTTCTAATACCTGCACTTCCTTCCAAAAGAGTTCCATACGACCTTTCTAATACCTGCTCCTCCTTCCAAAGGAGTTCCATACCACCTTTCTAATACCTGCACCTCCTTCCAAAAGAGTTCGGGTGTTTGTGTTGATTGCATCTCCATATCCAATTGAAGCAAGATAATTACAGAGGACTGAATAGTTTAAAGAAAATTTTATTATTGTGTTACGTTTACTTTGAAATTGAATTTTAAAAAGGCTAGCTTATATAGAGTTAACACTAATTAAATGTACTTACAATGTAACAATGTATTTTGCTTGTTTTTTCAGTTTGTTGATGTCAAAGGAACAATCTAATGACTATTTATACCTCATGGGTAATTAAAACAACCATTAGGGGAGACAACTCTAACACAAATAAATGTATAATTGGTGTAAAACCTGAAGCTTGTTAAAAATAGCATGAAAGTCAGGGTCCCTAAGAAATTGGAAAATTTAAAAGTATTTTTAACTGATAGTGAGAGATTAGGTAGAATTTGACACAAACAAAGGAAATGAGGCTCAATAATTGCCTAGTATTCAAAGGTAATAATGTGTGCTAAAAAGTTTATTGATCATCTGAAAATTTAATCATGCATTTATGCCAAATTTATTTGTGGTTGTTGCTTGAGGCATTTAGTCAGGCCAACGTTAAAACTGCATTCATGTACAAATTAGCAAATAGTTTGTATCGCAGCATTAAGGTAAGACCTAAATTTTATACATATGGCTCACAGGTCAAGTCGCCACTGTTTGATGTGGTACGTATACATGTAAAGGCATAGAGGGGTCAGTTTTTGATGTGGTACTGTTAAGCCAGGGAGGGGTCAGTTTTTGATGTTTTAGGTCTGCAGGGTTCTGTAGCTGGGAGCTAGTGAGGATGTTGATTACACGAGATAGAAGTAATATATATACTCCATCTTTACTACATCACTCAGCACCTCTAGACTACAAACAGGAAACTTTGGCTAAGGTTTATTTATGTATATAAACAAAATAAGTAGGAAAAAAAGGTATTTTTACACATCACCCATCTGCTTGGTGGTACATTTGTATATTCAACTTGGACTGCCTTCTGATTGAAAATCTTTTTGGCACAAACTCTATACGTTCCATTTGCTATTTTGGATTATGGTTTTTAGAGCCCATTTTAATGGTGATCGTTAAGAATATAAATTCTTATAAGTGCTAGTTGCCCGAGAAACTTCAGGATTAGGAAGTTAAGGAGGGGTGAAATCTGACAACCTATAGTTTGTTTTATCAATTATCTGCTGTGTAACTATGATACAGTGTGCACTTGTTTTTCTGCAGTGTTAAAACTGTAAATAACATAGTAACACACATGTAAATCATCAGTCCTCGTACGGTAAACCTTCTTCAGCATCGTTCACCTCCTTATGAAGATTTCACGATTTAAAACTTTGTCTACTCGTAGCAAAATTTTAAAAAATAAAACAGAAAAATCAGTGTTTTGAAATTCTGAAATTTGTAAAGACAATTTTTGTGATATATATATAATATAGTTAGCGGTATTGATGGTGTAGTAACATAACACCAAGTCTTGATTTCTCCCCATCAGATTTGAGGAATGGTACTGGTAATGTATTTTCATGGTGCACAGTCTCATATCTGGGGGATATGATTTTTTTTCGATTTATACTGATATGCAGTTGTCTATTTCAAGAGAAATTCTGGCGAAATGCAGACAGCTATATATATATTTACCAAGGGGTATGTACAATGTTTATGGCCTGCAGTGAAACAAACAGGTGTAAAAAGTCATATCACTTCTGCTTATCAAAGTATAATCAGCTTTGAATGTAAATAATAATTCAAAATTCAAAATGAAACACTGAAAAAAATATATGAATGCATCTATTAATATCAGGATTTTGATGGAGACTGATTATTTGGACTACAACTTGTTTCTGCGTAGATACGGATTATGTGCCAAATTGTTTTTTCACACAAAAATGCCACGTGAAAGCTGTTCCGACAGGTACCTGGGATGTTTATCAGCATGTTATAGAGGAAAAAGCTATTTTAAGTTCTGGCTTATGGTAGTTAGATGAAAGTGATAAAGACATGAAGATTTTGAAAACAAATTAATGGTTTAAGCTTTTACGTCATACGTAGTGATTCTGATCATGATTGGCATGGTTTTACCAGGTTATAGCTGACAGAACGAGGTGCTGATTTATATGGGCGGGATTAACAGACTTTATTTTTGTGGTAGCTATGGTAAGATAATTGGTGATGTGGGAATGAGATATTATAACTTGGATGCAAATATCAGTATGTGTAACAGCCTTGTTACTACATTCCAGGGGTTACGCTTTTATTCTCTACACCCCTGGAATATGTGTTGATTACTGATGATAAAATCTAACACTCTGTACTACCTACCTTTTGGATAATTACCAGACTAGTTTAATTTGATCCTTTACATTTAATATACATCAAAGAAACACATGACAGTAAAACAGTAAAATAGATCAGCTCTGAAGTCAGGTGTCATTCTTCTGTAATCGTCAAAGAACAGGTATCAGCCTAGTGCTTGGTAAGATATTTTTCATCTGAAACTGGTAAAATAGCTTACGATGGTACGCTTAGCTGTGATTTTGTCATAACATAAGGGGTGTAGAGAACGAAAGTGAGCATAACCCTTGGTATGTTGTGGATACTGTCACATGATATACCCAGTGAAAAATGTAAACGTCTGAAGTACCCCAAGGCTAAACGGTGAGGTAAATTTAAGTGAGAATGAATTGAAATTGCTACCTATGTCTTGTTATTACACTCAATTTCCTTTTTATGTTTATAACATATTTACATTATGATTAGGTAGATTTGGGAAAAAAATTGAACTGGCTAATATGACAGACATGTATTGTATAACTAGCTAGTACACCTATATTGGTGTATGTTTATACTTTGTACACAGTAACACCTGTCTGTGTATTGTACCTGATAATATCTGTACTGATATAGGTAGAGTAGATATTATATGTTTAACCTTGTGCACTTCCTGGTCTGCTGCCAGATACACGTAGGTACCTATCACAGGAATGTCATTGTAAATTACAGTAATGCTTCCTAAAATAGGATGTTGGTATTCCACTTTTAAACACAAAAGTCACAGTTACTGTGACTCATCTTCAGTTAACATAAAAGTGTTTAACTGAAGTCATGAAGGTGACGGTTTTGTAAATCTGTAGATGAAAAAGTGAAAACACATCAAAATGTTAAAGATTTCAACATTCCTAGTAGCTCAAAGTTTTTGCCCGGATGGGGATTTGAAGCAGGGTAAGATGTTTAATTAACTTGTAATTTCAATTACTGGTTATTTGTGATATTTAATGATAATTATTATTTGTAATGGAATCGGTGTAGAAAATAATGTTGTCTTATTGTACTGATGTGAACCTGTATGAAAGGGAGATAACCCAAATGATCTCGCTGTAATTGTCAGTACATGTGAGCTGATCTCGCTGTAATTGTCAGTACATGTGAGCTGATCTTGCTGTAATTGTCAGTACCTGTGAGCTGATCGCCCTGTAATTGTCAGTACATGTGAGCTGATCACGCTGTAATTGTCAGTACCTGTGAGCTGATCTTGCTGTAATTGTCAGTACATGTGAGCTGATCGTGCTGTAATTGTCAGTACCTGTGAGCTTAATGATGCATGCTGTGCCCGCAGTGTTGTGTGATACAGACATGCTGTATCACTAGTTAAAGTAACATTGCTACATAACATACCGTGGTATTTAAAATTGTTCTGAAATGAATTTATCAATAGGTTTTCACCTATGATAAATATATCTTGTGAAATTTAAAAAAAAAAAAATCTGTACCTTAATCAATAAATATTAAAAAAGGGATACTGAAAAAACTAAACAATACAAATCATCTTTGAAAAATGCAAAAAGATAAAATAACATGTAGTCCTCTGAGGCTGCACAAGGCCTGCTTATGTTGTGCACCTGAAAGGCGAGGTGAATGCTTGGATTTGGCTCGATTGGAATAAATGTTAGACAGATGGCCGGGCTACCGAAACCACCAGACTCATCCTTATTTTTACAACACATATCTGTCTTAAACGTCCCGATATATTTTTGTTTTTCTGATTTTTCTCATTGATACTTATTGTCCATGGATTTCAGAACAATTCATCAAAATCCTTCGCAATGTACCAGGAGTATTTCAAAAAGATTTCTTCTAAATTCCAATGAAGTAGAACTGTTGAAATATCATTAAAAGATTTCTTCTAACTTCCAATGGAGGAGAGCTGTTGAAATATCATTAAAAGATTTCTTCTAACTTCCAATGAAGGAGAACTGTTGAAATATCATTAAAAGATTTCTTCTAACTTCCAATGAAGGAGAACTGTTGAAATATCATTAAAAGATTTCTTCTAACTTCCAATGGAGGAGAACTGTGGAAATATCATTAAAAGATTTCACAACTTCACTGTAGTGAATCTCAATCACTTTTATCTTACAGCTAAATTCCAGCACTTTTTTACTCATGTATTTTTCATGAGCTGCAATGCATAGCACTCGATAAAGGGCTTTATATATATATATACAGTTATGAAAATACCTGTATGTGTGATTACCTCAGTACCAGAGATATTCAGCCAACCTGCTGGAACTATTAAATGTGTTTTAAGGTACATGGAAAATATTTGTCATCAAATATTCATGTAAGTTGTAAATATTTTTGTAGGCCAAGAATTTGGGAGAAATAGTGTACAAAGAAAAGATGGCAGTGTGAAACGACCGATTCCGGCCGGTGGCAAACCCAAACCTCAGATAGCCAAAAAGCCATCAGTTTCAAATAAACCAGCGAGACTCTTATCACAAACAAGCGTAGACACATTCGAGGGAAATAACTCCACAGGTAGGTAACTTTTGATACAGGAAGTAGGGGTGGATAACTGTAACATAACCAGAATACTATTCAGGAAAGAATAACTAGGCTTTATTTATAAAAACTCTTTTAATTAGTGTATTTAGAATTTGGGGATAATTTCATAAGGAGTAATATTAGTACAAGTATAGATAAAAATGAGATCGTGTTGTCTATATTATATTTTGCATATGAAAATCAGATCATCACCAAGAGAAGAATTATCATTAATAAATGATGGAAGTATTTTAGAGGTCTTGATATATGTTGAAATTATATTAAAGTTAAATCTTTTTTCGTTTTCAAATTCAGGAACTGTTTAATTTACAAGCGTATGTTTCTTGTAGTGTCAATGAAGTAATGAAATTTATTCTAAAAAGCTTTCTTATTATGTGTAGATAGTGCAAGTGTAATTTTATATGTTATTTTGTCTTTTGATTTTGACCTTGATATTGTAGAGCATGTATTTAATCCTCAATTGCACGAGCACAAGCAAGCACCGGGTCAGACTCAGAACGAAACTAAGGTGCACAACTCCCGTGACCCGTCCATAACAAAACATGCAATCCCAACAGTGCCTGTGACCCCACTTCCTCCCTCAGCACAATATAACAGCACAGGTTTTGATGATGTCATTGATGGTGCACGAGGATTGCTTACACAGGAAGCAGATCCTGTATTGCAAAGTGACTCCCATGGTTCCTCAACTTATGGGTTTTGTTCAAAGACGCTGCAAGTTCAAGGTCATGACTTGGAGGTTAATCTACAAAATAATGTGAATGTTTCTAGTCAAGAAGCATACTCAAGACATGGTAGTAGCAATCATATACCAAACCAGACTAGACCTTGTTTCGATGTTAAATCAAACAACGAAGAAACAAATTTGTCTAGAAAAAGTTCAAGAAAACCTCCGTCTGTTTCACCGAAACCGAGAAAGGGTTCTTTGGCGCCTGAGAATAAGCAATCGACTTTTGGTAGGGAGGAGGAAGTGATGGACATATCTCCTAGTTCAGGGAGTAAACTAAGTACTGAAGCTCTCCAAGAGCAGGACAAGGGAAATTCCTCCTCTGGTAGTGTTCTGTCCAAAGTTTCCATATTTTCTGAACAGATTAGCCAGCAACAAACGACAAGCAAGACTAGTGTTTCAAGAAGTTGGACATTAAATTCAGCCGAGAAAAAATCTCTGATAACACGATCATACAAAACAGACACTGATGGTGAGTTGTCGGTCAAACCCAGTGGGGTGGACATCGGCACACCTGTGAAAGAGGATAGTTCAAACTTACCAAGATCAAAATCGACAGTTACCATGAGGCCTAAACCTTCCCCTAGGGTCTCGCCAAAGGGGGTTAAGCCTGTTCCCATCCCAAGGAAACGGTTATCTCTGGAACAAAAAACAGCAGCCGAAATAATGGATCGAAGAATTGAAGAAAGTGATTCTAATTGTACCGTGACATCATCAACTTCATCAATGACATCATCAATGACATCATCAATATCATCAATGACATCATCAATGACATCATCATTTCAGAATGGAGAATCAGGGGATTTTACCAATAGACTTCAAGCAGAAACAGAACTTGGGAAATTAGATTTGTATGATAAATATACAACCCCACCCCCGGACATTCCCAAAAAACAAAATGGAGAAGAGGTGAAATTCAGGTTTGACGATCTCAACAAAGTTAACGCTGAAGATGATACATCATCTTTGTTGAATGACATCGCAAAATTAATAAATGAGGCTTTTGATGTATCTCCCAAGCCTAGGCCTGTATCGTTGGATGCCTCTCCAGTACGACCACCCCGAAGAAAACGACAGTGCTGCAATCCTGACTCCATGGAGTACAACAGTGATTCAGAGTTTAGTGTGCTAAAGAAAGACTCACATAAAGGCTCTACTCAGTCTCTGAATGCTTTAGAACTCAGCTCAGTTTCTTCAAGTAACAGAAAGCCGTGTCCACCAAAACCAATTCGCAAGAAGCTGGCAAACGGGAAAACAAATCGGAGTCAATCTGACCTTGGTGATATTCGTCAGTTAGTTCTAATGAAGGAAAGTGCAATGAAATTGAACCGTCAGGTTAAAATGGATTCTCCAAGTGATCGTAGTACTGTTCCACAAATGAGGGATAAATCAAATGTTCAGATTGTATCGAATCGTGGAAATAGTTGTATCCTAACTCCAGACACAAGAGTTCCTCCAAATCAGGAGGCAATTATTCGAGAAAAGCTAAAAGAAAGGTCAAAAAGTCTTCCTGGCTCACGAAATAAAGGTCGCCCTAAGCGTCCTGCTCCCCCGCCACCCGTGCCTGGAACTAAAGTGCTGTCTGTTGGTAATAAACTCATGTCAGTGAATTCTCTTGATGATGATAATCCATATTATGAAATTCCAGACATGTCTAGGATTGAAAGGACACGTGCTTCATCATTACAAACAACTTTTTCTTCAGAAGGGAAATTTATACCCCCACAACTTCCTCCTAGAAATGAATCTAAAAATATGTCAGCCTCTCATATTTCAAGAGTGTCTCCCGCATCCTCCAGAGCTCTTGATTTTGATCGGCCAATTAGCCTCATCAGTAACCAGTCAGACAGTGGGTCGATTAGTCAGGGCAGTCCAGCTCAGGGTAGCAGCTCCTCAGAGGATGAAAGTCTGGACCAGGAAACAAGGGTAAATAACTCTAAAGTACATTTCTACTAAAACCAACTTTCCTTAGGCTGATTTAGACATAGGCATTGTTGATTTAAATGTAAATCATGCACAGTGACTTTGTCTAATGGAATGGACAAAGAAAGAAATCTTCGAAGAAGGGTATGTATATGTACAAGTATGTTACTTCAATTTATACTCAATCAATCATTTAAAGTATGGATTTGTGTATCGGGACATTTTTTGCCCCGGCAGATATTTACCATTTACTTGTTAAAAACCACATCTGCTTGGTGTCAATTTCCCCTTCACATTGGAAAAGCTTAAGCTGGTTAGTAATATTCACTGTCAAGATAAATTTGGCCTCATTATAGAGGGTAGAGATGACAAAAACTAAATATTGGTAAATATTTCTTTGTGTACAGTGTCATATAACAGCTTTTCCTCTGCACATGTATGATACCCTGTGGGGATTTATTTTACAGAAAGAGCGGAAGAGATTAAAAAAGATCCGCTTCATCGCCCGTGAGATTGCTTCATCGGAGAAAGTTTTTGTGGATGTTTTGAAGCTGCTTAATATTGTAAGTGTAGCTTATACAGGAAACAGGCATTTTATTGATCGTCATAAACACAGTCTTATGGTTATATAATGGTCCAGAGAGGTGATTGGGACAGCCCCTATCTCTGACTATGGGATGGGGTGACATATGGCTGTTTTTTGGGGTCCTTAAATTTCCAGATTGCCTCTTTTTAAACCATTCCTCAAAACCTTTCCCAGTCATACATAAAGTATGAACATGTATATGCACATGTAAGGTCACGTTTTGGGATAAATGTGTTTTTTTGGGAGTCAGACTGGGCATAGCCATTATTATAATTGTTTCCTTAATATGTTCTTTGAAGTATTTGTTCAAAGGAAATATATATGGGCACTTCATTTCATACCTTCCTTGTTCATTTATTTACTTTCAGATCTGATTATCAAGTTTGTTATATTTTAATATGGCAGTTTTTTTAGATGTCTATATAATACTATTAATGAAATGTTGATTTCATTTGATATAATAATGAATTATTGATCCTTTAAAAAGTAATGAACAGAAAATGAAAGCAAAGTGTTGCTCATCTTTTCTTTCTAATTCTCCTTGTATATTTCTCTGACAGTGTTTTAGTGATCTAAATATTTCATATTTTTACAATGTAATACATGAAATGTCTGATTTGGATAAAATGTTTAATTGTATGTTGTTGTTTTTTTAAATCAGTAAAGAAAGACAAGGACACAATTTTTTTTATCTTCTGTATATATATATACATTATGGCAGGGTTTATTTTGTGAAGTCAAATTTGCATTATTAAGGAATTTGTAACAAGATCACAAGAAAAAGTTTTACAAAATGATATGATATATAGTGTAGTGAGCGAAAAATTCTCATTCCTTAATATTTTCCAGGATTTTCGGCTTCACATCTCGAAGGCAGAGGAGGAGGCCGGGAAAACCATTGTACCAAAGGAATATATGGATAAGATCCTTAGTCATCTTCCACAACTACAGAACTTCAACGAGGTCCTCCTCAAGGATATGCAGGCTCGCATTGAGAAATGGTATAACAGATGTGAATCATAAATGTATATAACAGAAACGAAGTTTATATCATGTGGCTTTATTTTTCATATTTTCTCTGCAATATGATTGGCTCTGACAAAGTCGCAAGACAATTTATAGAAAAAACTTACTCACTTGAAGCATGCAGGTTAAAGTAAGTATAATATTTTATAAACTTGGTGGTTTCTGAAAGTAGAGTATTATAGTTGTAGTCAAATGCACATCCTTCTCATGAATACAATTATAGCCATTTAAAAAAAAGTTAAAATAATTTACGAATTTGAGAAAATGTATATTGACCTTGAACTGTATCATTGGTTAATATATTTGTCTTGAGATATAAATTCACGTATTGACCACAGGGACTTGAGAATTTGTTACAGCTATATTTGGACCTAAACTAGTAAGGTTTTAGGGGTTTAGATTAATTTTCGATAAAAATGACACCCCCACTGATTATATATACGAGAAGGTGGAAAGCTCCTGATGTCGAAAATTCGACCCAACCTAACTTTCTTGCATCAAGTGACACGAAATACAAAAAAACAACACCAAACATTTGATTTCAATGCCCATAAAAATTCATGCATTATAAAAACAGTCATATGAGCCCATCTGACATCATATTTCAAACCCTACTTAACAATCATACATGACTCAAGTGCTACATGATGTTAATGGATGATATCAAGGAAGATCAAAGAGAAACTGTTGCAATTACCAAATTTAATGTAGCTATTTTCCCTAATTGATAAGAAAGAGATTCTTTACAATAGAAGCATTTGTAGTCTGAAAGCTTATTTAGAAAGGAAGATTTGTGTGTTGTTTTTTTCCAAGTTATAGTTTTGATATGTACATATAGAAGTCTTAGGCAGAAATGGAACCCTGGCAATAACATCTTTTATCGATGACCAACTCTGTATTGTCATGTTTCTGGTTCACAGGGATGAGAATCCGACGATCTCAGACATCTTCGTGAAGAAGGGTCCATTCCTGATGTTATACACGTCATACATACAGGACTTCAGCGACATGACCGCCATCCTGGACGAGGCTCTCAAGAAACTACCACTGTTTCAGAGTGTGGTCAAGGAATTTGAGGTCAGAAAAAAACCGGATTGGTTCTGAAGCAGGTTTTTTCCACCTTTTTAGATTAAAGACTACGAATCAATTATTTTTCAGGAGAGTTCTGCATGAACTTCAAAGTTATTTCAAAAGTTAATTACATAATCTATATTTTGCAGCAAGACAACTTTAGAAATTCATGTTTGTTTTAACAGCTATATATATATATATATATATAAGAACTGGCTGTATGTTATCATTTCCTGAGGTAAAATATCTCATTTCTGACACAATCAGGAAATAATTATTAACAAAATTTAAGTGATTTTTAATTTTTTTTTTAACAAAAATTTAATTTTGGGAAGTTATAAATATATAGAGGATATTTAATGGTGTCTCCAGTAATAACAAATATATTTCACGAGTGTGGCTATTATTTTGATATTTTTCATGAGTGAATGGGATACTCAACGCCATTCCGACGTTTTCTGCTATTATCTGGTGTGATTGCTTATGAAAATGTTATTAATTGTAAACTTATGTAAATACTTAAGTGTGTGTACCAAACATTTACCATAACAACCACTTATTCTACCGTCCCTTCATTTGAATCTGAACAAAAAAATCGCAGCGAATAGAAGATAGCGTTATGATTGGTCAATACCAAAAAGTGATATTTTCAGTGTGAAAATATCACTTTTGATATTTGTCACAGTGTGAAAGATATCAGTTTTATCAAGTTGATAGAATCCAATATTTCACTGGCAAAAATGTAATAAACTATATTAGCTAATCATTTAACTTTAAAACGTAATCAATTTTTCTTGTCATTTTTAGCCCAGAAAACTTTATACTGTCTTTCCGTATTTCTTTATTTGACATTCAGGAGCATTTCTCATGATGGATTATAATTGCTTCTATAAAATCAATTTTCAGTTGTAACCTTGACAAAAAAATGCATCAATTCACAACTATTTAATACAGTATTGGTGAGAATAATGGTCAAAACTATCTGATATTGCTATAATCCATTAACTGTTAATTAATTCTCAACAGGATCAGATGTTTGTTACGTCACTGTGCCCAAATTGGGACACTTTTTAGATAAATATCAATGTTCTTCATACCATACTATCAGTTCCAAAAATGTTTGTTCATTTTTCATAAAAAGATACTATCCACTTTTCATTTCTATTACAAGTTGATATTTCGGGCGCATGGTTCTATTTTATAAAACGTGAAATACTATCAGGGTTATGGAGGCCCTTGAACCGGCATAACCTGTATCCTGAAAGGGAGACTTCAGTATTTTGGCTAATATTTGGTGATAAACGATCAATATCAGCAGAAAAAATAGGGTTATGGGAATTTCTTCCCCAAACTAGCATTAGTTTTGATAAAATAGCCTTTTGAATATGATATCCAAATTAATAGCATTGCTCGTCGAGTAATTCGGGAAACCTTTGTATTGTCATTATTCTTACATTTAGATTGTCCATGTAATGATAATCAGCAGCCAATAAAGCTTACATACAGTTAAATTGTCATAAAACGTATATATCAAATGAAAACTGTATACATAAAAGTACTTCTTTGCATTGAATGGCAGTTTTCTTGGTCCATTTTCCCAGGAGTGTCCCGTTTAGGGTACTGTCCGGATTTTGGCACAGTGACGATAGGTGTTGTTGCAGTTAAGTCTCGATCAGACACAGTTAAGATAATAAATGACTAAAATTAAAAAATTTGATGTAATGTAAACATGTTTTTCTGAAGAAAATGTCTATGTGTTTGTGTTAATTTCATTGTTTAAAAAACATTTATGTTTACAGATGAGCCCACGCTGTGCATGTCTCGCGATACGACAACATATGTTAAAACCCATACAGAGAATACCACAGTACAAAATGCTATTACAAGGTAAGTGTATATACTGTACCTCATACAATACCTGTTACACCCATACAGAGAATACCACATTACAAACTACTATTACAAGGGAAGTGTATATACCGTACCTCACACAATACCTGTTAAACCCATCCAGAGAATACCACAGTACAAACTACTTACAAGGTAAGTGTTTATACTGTACCTCATACAATACCTATTAAAATCCATACAGGGGTTACCACAGTACAAACTACTTACAAGGTAAGTGTTTATACTGTACCTCATACAATACTTGTTAAAACCCATACAGAGGATACCACAGTACAAACTACTATTACAAGGTAAGTGTATATACCGTACCTCATACAATACCTGTTAAACCCATACAGAGAATACCACAGTACAAACTACTATTACAAGGTCAGTGTATATACCGTACCTCATACAATACCTATTAAAATCCATACAGAGATTACCACAGTACAAACTACTATTACAAGGTAAGTGTATATACTGTACCTCATACAATACCTGTTAACACCCATACAGAGATTACCACAGTACAAACTACTATTACAAGGTTAGTGTATATACTGTACCTCATACAATACCTATTAACACCCATTCAGAGATTACCACAGTACAAACTACTACTACAAGGTAAGTGTATATACTGTACCTCATAAAATACCTATTAAAACCCATACAGAGAATACCACAGTACAAACTACTATTACAAGGAAAGTGTATATACAGTACCTCACACAATACCTATTAAAACCCATACAGAGAATACCACAGTACAAACTACTATTACAAGGTTAATGTATATACTGTACCTCATACAATATCTGTTAAGACCCATACAGAGAATCCCACAGTACAAACTACTATTACAAGGTAAATGTATATACTGTACCTCATACAATACCTGTTATAACCCATGCAGAGAATACCAGAGTACAAACTACTATTACAAGGTCAGTTTATATACCGTACCTCATACAATACCTATTAAAATCCATACAGAGATTACCACAGTATAAACTACTATTACAAGGTAAGTGTATATACTGCACCTCATACAATACCTATTAAAACCCATACAGTGAATACCACAGTAAAAACTACTATTACAAGGTAAATGTATATACTGTACCTCATCCAATACCTGTTAAGACCCATACAGAGAATACCACAGTACAAACTACTATTACAAGGAAAGTGTATATACAGTACCTCACACAATACCTATTAAAACCCATACAGAGAATACCACAGTACAAACTACTATTACAAGGTAAGTGTATATACTGTATACGTACCTCATACAATACCTATTAAAACCCATACAGAGAATACCACAGTAAAAACTACTATTACAAGGTAAATGTATATACTGTACCTCATACAATACCTGTTAAAACCCATATAGAGAATACTACAGTACAAACTACTATTACAAGGTAAGTGTATATACTGCACCTCATACAATACCTATTAAAACCCATACAGTGAATACCACAGTAAAAACTACTATTACAAGGTAAATGTATATACTGTACCTCATACAATATCTGTTAAAACCCATACAGAGATTACCACAGTACAAACTACTATTACAAGGTTAGTGTATATACTGTACCTCATACAATACCTGTTAAAACCCATACAGAGATTACCACAGTACAAACTACTATTACAAGGTTAATGTATATATACTGTACCTCATACAATACCTGTTATAACCCATGCAGAGAATACCAGAGTACAAACTACTATTACAAGGTCAGTATATATACCGTACCTCATACAATACCTGTTAAAACCCATACAGAGAATACCACAATACAAACTACTATTACAAGGTTAATGTATATACTGTACCTCATACAATACCTGTTAAAACACATACAGAGAATACCACAGTACAAACTACTATTCCAAGGTAAGTGTATATACTGTATACGTACCTAATACAATACCTATTAAAACCCATACAGAGAATACCACAGTATAAACTACTATTACAAGGTCAGTATATATACTGTACCTCATACAATACCTGTTAAAACCCATACACAGAATACCACAGTACAAACTACTATTACAAGGTCCGTGTATATACTGTACCTCATACAATACCTATTAAAACCCATACAGAGAATACCACAGTACAAAATACTATTACAAGGTAAGTGTATATACTGTACCTCATTCAATACCTGTTATAACCCATGCAGAGAATACCAGAGTACAAACTACTATTACAAGGTCAGTATATCTACCGTACCTCATACAATACCTGTTAAAACCCATACAGAGATTACCACAGTACAAACTACTATTACAAGGTAAGTGTATATACTGTACCTCATTCAATACCTGTTAAAACCCACACATAGAATACCACAGTACAAACTACTATTACAAGGTCAGTATATATACCGTACCTCATACAATACCTGTTAAAACCCATACACAGAATACCACAGTACAAACTACTATTACAAGGTTAGTGTATATACTGTACCATTACAAGGTTAGTGTATATACTGTACCTCATACAATACCTATTAAAACCCATACAGAGAATACCACAGTATTAAATGTATATACCGTACCTCATACAATACCTGTTAAAACCCATACAGCAGTATATATACCGTACCTCATACAATACCTGTTAAAACCCATACAGAAAATACCACAGTACAAACTACTATTACAAGGTCAGTATATATACCGTACCTCATACAATACCTGTTAAAACCCATACAGCAGTATATATACCGTACCTCATACAATACCTGTTAAAACCCATACACAGAATACCACAGTACAAACTACTATTACAAGGTCAGTGTTTATACTGTACCTCATACAATACCTGTTAAAACCCATACACAGAATACCACAGTACAAACTACTATTACAAGGTAAGTGTATATACTGTACCTAATACAATACCTGTTAAAACCCATACAGAAAATACCACAGTACAAACTACTATTACAAGGTAAGTGTATATACTGTGCCTAATACAATACCTGTTAAAACCATACAGAAAATACTACAGTACAAACTACTATTACAAGGTAAGTGTATATACCGTACCTCATACAATACCTGTTAAAACCCATACACAGAATACCACAGTACAAACTACTATTACAAGGTTAATGTATATACTGTACCTCATACAATACCTGTTAAGACCCATACAGAGAATACCACAGTACAAACTACTATTCCAAGGTAAGTGTATATACTGTATACGTACCTCATACAATACCTATTAAAACCCATACAGAGAATACCACAGTACAAAATACTATTACAAGGTAAGTGTATATACTGTATACGTACCTAATACAATACCTATTAAAACCCATACAGAGAATACCACAGTACAAACTACTATTACAAGGTAAGTGTATATACTGTGCCTAATACAATACCTGTTAAAACCATACAGAAAATACTACAGTACAAACTACTATTACAAGGTAAGTGTATATACTGTACCGCATACAATACCTGTTAAAATCATACAGAGAATACCACAGTACAAAATACTATTACAAGGTAAGGGTATATACTGTACCTCATTCAATACCTGTTAAAACCCATACAGAGTATCCCACAGTACAAACTACAATTCCAAGGTTAGTGTATATACTGTACCGCATACAATACCTGTTAAAATCATACAGAGAATACCACAGTACAAAATACTATTACAAGGTAAGGGTATATACTGTACCTCATACAATACCTGTTAAAACCCATACAGAGAATGCCACAGTACAAACTATTATTACAAGGTCAGTATATATACTGTACCTCATACAATACCTGTTAAAACCCATACAGAGAATACCACAGTACAAACTACTATTACAAGGTCAGTATATATACTGTACCTCATACAATACCTGTTAAAATCATACAGAGAATACCACAGTACAAACTACTATTACAAGGTCAGTGTATATACTGTACCTCATACAATACCTGTTAAAACCCATACAGAGAATACCACAGTACAAACTACTATTACAAGGTCAGTGTATAGTGTAACATACACCGTACAACAGGTACTCACTCAGTATATATCTGAATTACATATGTGTATACATTGAAAAAATTCTTGTATCATTCGAAAATGTTTAGTACTGATTGTGGATGAGAGAATAAATTTGGAAGCTATTGCTTTGATCAGAAAAAATAGTAAACATGATTTCTATTTTTTCAGATTATTTGAAGCATCTTACTCCAGATTCTCCAGATTATAATAACACACAAGGTAAGTCCAAAGTGTGAACTCTGTATACTACAGTTGTAATGACCGTATCAGGAGGCTGGTAACATCGAATAAACCTGTTGTCAGTATAAGGCGACAAATTCCGGATTTGTATCCGGATACTTTTTATACTTGCATAAAATGTACCCCCCTGTGAAAAAAAAAATATTTCTCTATTTTTAATCCAATTAAGTTCAGGTCTTGAACAGGACATAACAGGGGAATATTTATCCACCCCTACCCGACCAACCCCCACCCCCGGGGCCAGGAATTTATGCCAAAATAATTTTTAATCACTGGACACAATAAGGTTTGGGGAGTCATGTAAAAACATTTACAGTTATGTTATAGTCATTACCCAACCTATATTCAACTCCCTAACCCCCAGATACTTTTAATACATCTGACCAAAATGTACCCCCCAGATACTTTTAATACACCTGACCGAAATGTGCCCCCCGGATACTTTTAATACACCTGACCAAAATGATCCCCCGGATACTTTTTATACACCCGACCAAAATGTACCCCCCGGAATACTTTTTATACACCCTAACCCTAACCCGGACCAAATTCTGAAGTCAAGTGGATAAAAAATATTCAAATATATGATTTTTCATAGGGGGGGTACTTTTTGGTCAGGGTATAAAAAGTATCCGGGCGGTACATTTTGGTCGGGTGTATAAAAAGTATCCGGGGGGTGGGGAGTTGAAGATAGCTTGGGTAATGACTATAACATAACTGTAAATGTTTCTACTTGACTCCCTAAACCTAATTGTGTCCAGTGATTGAAAATTATTTTGGCATAATTTCCTTGTCCCAGGGGTGGGGATTGGTGGGGTAGGGGTGGATAAATATTCCCCTGTAATTGCCTGTTGAAGTTCTGAACTCAATTGGATAAAAAAAAAAGTTTTTTTTTTTTTCATAGGGGGTACTTTTTGGTCAGGGTATAAAAAGTATCCGGGCGGTGGGTAATTGAAGAGAGGTTGGGCAATGACTATAACATAACTGTAAATGTTTCTACTCGACTCCCCAAACCTAATTGTGTCCAGTGATTGAAAATTATTTTGGCATAATTTCCTGGCCCCGGGGTCGGGGATTGGTGGAGTAGGGGTGGATACACATGCACCTGTAACCTTTTGATCAACTTCTGAACTGTTTTTGATTAAAAAAACCTTAAACAGGGGTATAAATAAAAAGTATCCGGATACTATTTAAGCAGGAGGTACATTTTATGCATGACACCGGATGTTCAGTTACTGTATCAAGGTTAGAACATTTCCTTGTAAAGTGACACCCTGTTGTCAGTATAATGTGACACCCTGTTGTCAGTATAATGTGACACCCTGTTGTCAGTATAATGTGACACCCTGTTGTCAGTATAATGTGACCGGATGTTCAGTTACTGTATCAAGGTTAGGACATTTCCTTGTAAAGTGACACCCTGTAGTCAGTATAATGTGACACCCTGTTGTCAGTATAATGTGACACCCTGTTGTCAGTATAATGTGACACCCTGTTGTCAGTATAATGTGACACCCTGCAGTTGTCAGTATAATGTTACGGGATGTTCAGTTACTTTATCAAGGTTAGGACATTTCCTTGTAAAGTGACACCCTGTTGTCTGTAAAATGTGACGGGATGTTCAGTTACTTTATCCAGGTTAGGACATTTCCTTGTAAAGTGACACCCTGTTGTCAGTATAATGCGACCAGATGTTCAGTTACTGTATCCAGGTTAGAACATTTCCTTGTAAAGTGACACCCTGTTGTCAGTATAATGTGACACCCTGTTGTCAGTATAAAGTGACACCCTGTTGTCTGTAAAATGTGACTGGATGTTCAGTTACTGTATCCAGGTTAAGACATTTCCACGTAAAGTAACACCCTGTTGTCAGTATAATGTGACTGGAGGTCTAGCTTCTGTATCCAGGTTAGGACATTTCCTTGTAAAGTGACACCCTGTTGTCTGTATAATGTGACGGGAGGTCTAGCTACTGTATCCAGGTTAGGATATTTCCTTGTAAAGTGACACCCTGTTGTCAGTATAATGTGATGCAATGCCCAGGTGTACTGTCTTTAGGTTAGGACAGCACCTGGATATATTGTTGGGTGGTATTTTTTGTCAATACTCTGTTGGTAGTTTCACATTTACACAGCAAATTACTTGTCTTTACCAGTCAGTGTGGAGGTAACTAGTTTACTGTTCTTATTCTTTAGTTGATGAAAAATAATCCTTTCATGCTTTTTTTTTTGTCTTTCAGAAGCTCTTGTGATCGTTAGTGCAGTAGCTGATCACGCTAACGACAGTATGAAGCAGGGAGACCAAGTACAGAGGATGTTAGAGATTCAGAAATCACTCGACGGCAACTTCGAAGTCATCAGACCAGGCAGAGTAATGACTTGTTGTGTTATTATAAATACTGTATATATCTGGTGATTAGCCCACGCCTGGTAATAAGCCCACCCATTTCTATCATAATTCTCACAATAAAAATGCCAACAAATCTGATTGTGTTGTCCTTTGATAAGCCCAGCCTCTACTTTGAGTTAGATATTATTTGTTGCCTGGTATTGAAGTATAAAAACATATTAAAAAACATCATTGCAAATTCAAAATTAGAAAAGGAGATCAGAGCACATTCATTAAGAAATAAATAATGACACAATGGTGCTCATCAAGCAGTTCTGAATGTTTATGATAACTAGGTACAAACTCTGCCTCTGAATGTTTATGATAACTATTTTCAAACTCTGCCTCTGAAATTTTTGAAAAAAACTTTGCAAAAGTAAAAACTAAGAGTCCCTTATGTAAACTTTTTGTTTTAAAGCAAAGTTTACCACGTCAGTGAAGCTAGGATCTGTCTTTATGGTCACCCTTATCTTTGTGATAGATATCCTGATATATTTGAACTTTCTTTATAACAGTTGTTTATCAAGGCTGGGGAGCTAATGAAGTGGTCCAGGAAAGAAATGCAGGAGAGAATGTTTTTCCTGGTAAGTTCCAAGGTCTACCTGACACGTACAGGTATATTAGTTTAGGTGTCCTGGTAAGTGGCAAGTCAGGTCGACCTCATTTATTTGGTTTTCTCTATGATAGAATTTTAAATCATGTTCAGTTCAAGGACAGGCCAGACTTACATAAACATTTGTTTTTTTGTTGATATTTAGCTCACAATTTGAAAAATTTGTAAGTTAACAAGTTTTTTTGTTTTAACAGTTCAGCGATGTGTTGCTGTACACCACACCTACAGCTACAGGGGGATACAGGCTCAACCAGGTGCTAACTCTCACTGGCATGAAGGTAAAAACATACTGGCCTTACACTTCAGGCTGCTTGATCGTAAGGTGACCCTAGCTGTAAGCGATGTTCCTATATAAAATATTCTAGTGTGAAAGAAGATAGTGTTCTCAAATATCATAGCTAAGAATTATGAAATTTTCACTGTGAGGTGTATTTTTATTTAAGTTTACTTCTATTTTGATTTTCCTCAGGTGTCCATGTCAACACATGATGAATTCAGTAACGAGTTTAACATCATCAGCACCCACAAGTCTTTCACAGTGGAGGCTAAGTAAGTACAGCGTATATGTCACATTAAACATTTCTTGAATGTTTCAAGACCAACTGGTCCCTTTGTCAAACAATGACTGAGTGAAAGATTTGTATTGTTTACCTGTAAAATGATGTGACGAAATTGTATATTTCATATGTCATTTGACCTGGAATGTTTTGCCTATTGGTCGGTATTGAAACCTTGCCACACGTTCCATACGTACATTGTTTGTGTATAAAGTAAAACTTTGTTATTATATAATATGAGTTGGATATTTTTTCCCCTTAACATTAAAGTATATGAAAAAGGGGTGTGATGCATAATTATTCAAAATATATAAACCATATGGTCAGTTTTGGTAGGGAAAACATTATCACTGCATAAAGTGTTGGACTATAAATATGTTGGAAAAACTTTTTGCAATCTAACTAAATATGAGTAACAGGTTGTTTTTGAGGGCAAGTTGTATCTAAGTTTCAAAACATGTAAAATGATTCTCCCTTTTTTTAGTTTTGAGGATCTTATAGATTAGTAACTAAATGTCTCCTGGCTCTGATGAATGTGTATATTTGACAGGACACAGTCAGACAGAAACGCATGGCTTGCTGCTCTCCAACAAGCCGTGGAAGAAAATGCAAAGAAGAGGAACACATTTGAGAAAGTGGAGGTATATAAAAATTGGACGACTGATACGGGTATACGTAAAGTTGTGTTTGTTATATCTAAATATACTCGAATGTAAACGTAACATGACCATTCAGTAACAGTACCTTATAGGTTTTCCTTAGACAACAAATGGATTAAGGTAAAATGTGAGTAAGACCTAATAAAAAAAAAGAGTTGTGTTTCCGCTAACCTTACAAACATACCCTAGATTTTTGTGCCTACCCTAAAGTTTTTATTGACAGTTAGTGATATGCTCTGTTGAAATCAGAACTACTGCTCTGTATAAGCATAGTAAAAGTATTTTCCAAAATAAAAAAATGTACCTTCCTACCTTTTTTTTCTGAGGATGATAGCGGAAACACGAGTCATTTTTGTTTACATACTTGTTTACATACTGAATCTTAACACACCGTCTCTGATGTGTACTATACACAAATTATTACTAACCTCTGTAGGAGAATAAGGAGGTTGATTATACATTATGTAGTTATACTTACACATTCCTTTATACATGTTTAACAGGTGCTAGACCATGACTTTAAGAAAGGCGACGAGGCACCGGTCTGGATCCCTGACACTCGTGTCACAATGTGTATGATATGTACGTCCGAGTTCTCCGTGATTCACAGACGACACCATTGTCGAGCGTGTGGCAAGGTATACAGCTCCAAAACACCTGTTTCTTTGCATATATCTCAAAATAAATCAAGCCTGATACCCGAGATGTATTTTTATTCACTGTTAAATTGAAATCAGTTTTATCCACTTAAGCCCTATATATATTTTACCAACACTTCTCTGGACCATAGTCTCCATGGTCCTTTCACAGATGGTCGACTCAAATTTAAAATAAGTCCAGTACCTGTTTTATATCATTCTTACAACTAAACAACTAGCTTGGGATCCTGACGAGATCACAGAAAGCTTTTGTCACTAACTATTGGTGCTTTTTTGCAGGTTTTGTGTTCATATTGTTCAATGAACAAAGTGCCGCTTAAATACCTCAATGGCAAAGAGGGGCGTGTTTGTAATGAATGTTACGATGAACTGAAGCCAGGTATGTTGTACCGGTTCATATATTGCAATTTTTTAAACAGAGCTTTTGGAAATTTGACATAATCAAAAGGTTTGATAATCTAGTTGATTTATTGACTTATAACTGAACAGGAATTATATTTTACAATTCTAGCCCAGTTTTATGAAAGTGTGAGGTTGCCAATTCGGATAATATAACGTCTTATCCTTTAATATAAACATGTAATAAGGGGGATAACTCTCATGGACATTTTTTAACAAAACTCCCGATGATTTCCAACTTCCGCTGCCATCTGTCAACCACAAAAATCCATTTCTTGATTTCCTTTACTGAAAAATGTTTGCAGTATGACAAATTTGTTATTCACGTTTTGAGGAGGTAACATAAGCCCATGTTTCCTCTTTTGTCTTGGGAGATAGGAAACTCAAGACCAACAATTTACAAAAAAGATATGTTTTTTATCTTTAATGTAAGGATGTCAGTGTATCACAAATTTACACTCCAGCATACCAGTGATCAATTACATAGCTAGTCTGACTGTATGGATAATTGGAAGAGAGGTTATTTTGTTATTCAAGAGTTCTGGTCAAGCTAATATACATATAGGTATAGACCTAGAGACAAAGTACAATATTACCATGCATCTAAAGAAACATTACCCAATTTTCCAGTGATGAAAATGCAAAGATATCCTGTCTTTCTAAATAGAACTGTTTAAACTTTTCATTTTGTAGAATACATTGATGATGAGGAAGTAGAAATACAGGATCAACAGAAATCACCATTTGATTTCATCGCCGGGAAATTGTTCCGGAAAAGCAATAACAAACCTCATCGACCAAAACGATTTCAGGAGGTCAGTGTTATAAGTTTGGCTATTGGTGGTATGTACCTGTTATTGGGGCATACAGTGGGAGGTCAGTGTTATAGGTATGGCTATTGGTGGTATGTACCTGTGATTGGGGTATACAGCGGGAGGTCAGTGTTATATGTTTGGCTATTGGAGGTATGTACCTGTTATTGGGGTATACCGTGGGAGGTCAGTGTTATATGTTTGGCTATTAGTGGTATGTACCTGTTATTGGGATATACAGTGGGTGGTCAGTGTTATATGTTTGTCTATTGGTGGTATGGACCTGTTTTTGGGGTATACAGTGGGAGGTCAGCGTTATATGTTTGGCTATTGGGGGTATGTACCTGTTATTGGGGTATACGGTGGGAGGTCAGTGTTATATGTTTGGCTATTGGAGGTATGTACCTGTTATTGGGGTATACCGTGGGAGGTCAGTGTTATATGTTTGGCTATTGGTGGGATGTACCTGTTATTGGGGTATACGGTGGGAGGTCAGTGTTATATGTTTGGCTATTGGGGGTATGTACCTGTTATTGGGGTATAGAGTGGGAGGGCAGTGTTATATGTATGGCTATTGGTTGTATGTACCTGTTATTGGGGTATACGGTGGGAGGTCAGTGTTATATGTTTGTCTATTGGTGGTATGGACCTGTTTTTGGGGTATACAGTGGGAGGTCAGGGTTATATGTATGGCTATTGGTGGTATGGACCTGTTTTTGGGGTATACAGTGGGAGGTCAATGTTATATGTTTGGCTATTGGTGAAATGTACCTGATATTGGGGTATACAGTGGAAGGTCAGTGTTATATGTTTGGCTATTGGTGGCATGTACCTGTTATTGGGGTATACAGGGGGTGGTCAGTGTTATATGTTTGTCTATTGGTGGTATGGACCTGTTTTTGGGGTATACAGTGGGAGGTCAGCGTTATATGTTTGGCTATTGGGGGTATGTACCTGTTATTGGGGTATACGGTGGGAGGTCAGTGTTATATGTTTGGCTATTAGTGGTATGTACCTGTTATTGGGATATACAGTGGGTGGTCAGTGTTATATGTTTGTCTATTGGTGGTATGGACCTGTTTTTGGGGTATACAGTGGGAGGTCAGGGTTATATGTATGGCTATTGGAGGTATGTACCTGTTATTGGGGTATACGGTGGGAGGTCAGTGTTATATGTTTGGCTATTGGAGGTATGTACCTGTTATTGGGGTATACGGTGGGAGGTCAGTGTTATATGTTTGTCTATTGGTGGTATGGACCTGTTTTTGGGGTATACAGTGGGAGGTCAGTGTTTTATGTTTGGCTATTGGTGGTATGCACCTGTTATTGGGATATACAGTGGGAGGTCAGTGTTATATGTGTGGCTATTGGTGGTATGTACCTGTGATTGAGGTATAGAGTGGGAGGTCAGTGTTATATGTGTGGCTATTGGTGGTATGTACCTGTTATTAGGGTATACAGTGGGAGGTCAGTGATATATGTTTGGCTATTGGTGGTATGCACCTGTTATTGGGATATACAGTGGGTGGTCAGTGTTATATGTTTGGCTGTTGGTGGTATGGACCTGTTATTGGGGTATGCAGTTGGAGGTCAGTGTTATATGTTTGGCTATTGGTGGTATGTACCTGTTATTGGGGTATACAGTGGGAGGTCAGTGTTATATGTATGGCTATTGGTGGTATGGACCTGTTTTTGGGGTATACAGTGGGAGGTCAGTGTTATATGTATGGCTATTGGTNATTTGACTATTGGTGGTATGTACCTGTTATTGGGGTATACAGTGGGAGGTCAGTGTTATATTATCCTGTATGCATTATTAACGGCAATGTGTTAGTAAGAAAATGAAGGGGGAGACAAAACATGTTCGAAAAAAAGATTTTGAAATATGCCTTTGTTTTTATTTCCTCAGGTTCATGCAAATGATCAGGGGTCACAGATGAGTGGTTACCTCAAAGTTCTACAGCAGAAGGGAAGGTGGAAAAAGTACTGGCACGTCCTCAAGGATAAGGTGCTTTACACCTACAGAGCTAGTGAGGTAAACATCGGGAGTGCCAAACAGTGGGGGGAGGGGAGGGGGCACAGAAGGAAGTTTGTCTGTTTGTGACCAGCCCTGGTCAACGTTTAAACCCTAGCATGCCAGAAGATCTGGGTTCAACTTCAGGGTGTCTGGGGCAGCTTGTGTCAGAACTTTAAACAAGATCTTAAAATAACTGTGTAGATATTGTTTATTTCAGAGCAGCATGTGGGAAAAGCATTGATGGCACTTGTTATATCAGTGTTTAATGTTTGTATGTGAAGACAAATATAAAGTTGGAGAAATACTCCAGAAAGTTGTCACTGATCTTTTAAAAAGGCGAATTAACTATCAGCCATGACTGCTTTCAAAAATTAATTATAAAAATTAAAAACATTTGCCACTATTGTCTTTTTGTGGTGAAATCACATGTAGCATAATTACACCAAACATCTGTGTAACTCAGACATTTCTGTGGCATAATTACATCAAACATCTGTGTAAATTAGACATTTCTGTGGCATGATCACATTAGAGGGTTCTACAAGGTGTTGATTGATGCAAATATGAATTAAGGTTTGTTTTTGTTTAGCATACAGCCGCTGTTGAAACTAAGCCAGGTTTTATTTTATTTTTGATACAGCCACTATAGAGATTAAGCCACATTTAATTTTAATTTTTGTATCAATAAAATATGTTTAAACTAAACTTAAGATTAAGCCACATTTAATTTTGATTTAGCATACAGCAACTATAGAGATTAAGCCCCTTTCAATTTTGATTTAGCATACAGCCACTATATAGAGATTAAGACAGATTTAATTTTGATTTAGCATACAGCCACTATAGAGATTAAGCCCCTTTCAATTTTGATTTAGCATACAGCCACTATATAGAGATTAAGCCACATTTTATTTTGATTTAGCATACAGCCACTATAGAGATTAAGCCACATTTTATTTTGATTTAGCATACAGCCACTATAGAGATTAAGCCCCTTTCAATTTTGATTTAGCATACAGCCACTATATAGAGATTAAGCCACATTTTATTTTGATTTAGCATACAGCCACTATAGAGATTAAGCCACATTTTATTTTGATTTAGCATACAGCCACTATAGAGATTAAGCCCCTTTCAATTTTGATTTAGCATACAGCCACTATATAGAGATTAAGCCACATTTTATTTTGATTTAGCATACAGCCACTANATTTAAATTTGGTTTTAGCATACAGTCACTATATAGAGATTAAGCCCCATTTAATTTTGATTTAGCATACAGTCACTATATAGAGATTAAGCCCCATTTAATTTTGATTTAGCATACAGCCACTATATAGAGATTAAGACAGATTTAATTTTGATTTAGGATACAGCTGCTGTTGAGATAAAGCCAATTGTTGGATATGAAGTTGCAGGGTTTGAGGAGGTAAGATTTAATTTTGATTCTGTCTTTTCATCTTGTTGATAAATATCTTCATTAATAACAATAATATACATTAATTTTATATCAACATAATTAACAAATACCAAATAATGCTAAAACTTTTATCATATGCAGGCTATTTTTGGCAAAAATGAATTTTAAGAAAAAATATTGGAACATTTATTTATTTCTTTTTAGATTTTTGAAGGTATTCACCAATCGGTGCTGTTCCAGTTAAAGCACCAGAACCAGAAACCGATTATCTTCCAGGGGGAAAACGCCTCCATTACAGAAAGGTAAAACGTCTTGAGGGTTGCATGTGGTCTTTGTCTGCTACAGACTGTTTGTAAATAGTCTGACATAAACAAATCATTTTAAAATAACAAAAAAAAATATTGTGACGTAAACAACACCATTTCAAGCATAAATGTGCATATGGAGAAGCCAATGACCCAAATATTGTTTTTTAAGATATCATTCTTCCTAGTTTTAAGGTTTATGGTATTATTACTTCACACAAAACTTGTATTTGTTAAATTCTGATGATGCACACCTTCTTTTGTTTATCACTAAAAATGAAAGAAAGATTCCGGAGAAAACCCCCAGAAACATACAAATTTTTGATTGACAGAAAACGAAAGTAACATAAGTTGAAAATAATTAGAGTGAAGTAAGAAGTTAATAAAAAATTTAAATGAATTTAAACATGTACATGTATAAAAGAGAAACTAAAATCAATTATGTTAACTCCCACTATGGTATTAAATCATTGTTTGAACAAAGATTATAAACACTTTTTGATATATTAACTTTCTATGATAAAAATGGAGACAACAAATTCTATTGTTGTTTTCAAAAATAAAGAAAGTAAGGGATAAATCATCAAACTTGATAAACGTTTCTTGTGTAATAAAAAAACCAGTTCATCGGCAGAGTTATTCCATTCACTCGGTAGGTTATTGTTTTCATAAAATATGAAAAAAATTAAACATGTTGCAAGATATTTAACTCATTCACCCCTGAAAACGCATTTAAACTCTTCAAATTCAAAGGTTGGAACAGTTCATTATCAAATTTCAGGGGTAAATGAGTTAAGGTATTACACTGATATTTTTGAAGGATAGTCTTGTTTTGTATTTGAGACTTTTTGCATTTTTAGATGGATTAAAGTCATGAAGGAGGCATCTGTACCCTGAGCCTTTAAGAGGTTAACTTATCAACTTACAGACCCATGGAACACAACCTTGAGTGACCTCAGCAGGCCGTTGAGTGATAAGATGGTGACTTGTAATCCCCGACCCTGGCTGTGATTTATCTGTGACATATTTCCAAAGTGTTGCTACTGTGTATGAGTTTGTTAAAGAACTTAGTTCTCATAGGGAAACCGGTGTAACCAAGGGAAGCTGGGGTAACCAAGGAAAAACCTGTAGTAACCAAGGAAACCAGTGACCAAGAGAAACCTGTTTAACTAAGAGAACCAGAGTAACCAAGGAAACCTGAGCAACCAGGAGAACCCTCAGTAACCAAGGAAACCTGAGTAACCAGGAGAACCCTCAGTAACCAAGGAAAGCTGGGGTAAACAAGGAAAAACCTGTAGTAACCAAGGAAACCAGTGACCAAGAGAAACCTGATTAACTATGAGAACCAGAGTAACCAAGGAAACCTGAGCAACCAGGAGAACCCTCAGTAACCAAGGAAACCTGAGCAACCAGGAGAACCCTCAGTAACCAAAGGTCATCAGTGTTATAAAGAGGAGACACTTTATAAGGATTATGTGTTGTCTCTACATAAACCTCTGTGATACCATTCGGGCTACATAAACAAATTGGCTGTAAGATTATATTTGATTACTGAAGTGCTGGTTCAAAAGAATGTTGTAATGACCAAAGCTCTGACTGGTCAGTGAAGGAAGGTGACCTTGACACTTACCACTGAACCGGATCACTTACAAATCAGGTTGTCTCTACAAAATAAGTGCTGTAGTTGTTAGTTTGTCAGCTTTTTCAGCTTTGAACAACATTACAACCTCCAAATAACAATTGCCTTAA